TGTGTCTCCCCAAGTCCTAGTTAGGAAGAATCATGGGATGCCTATACATGTGCTCGGGTGTGGGGGTGGGCAGGCATTTTAAGTAGAGTGGTTCCTGGAGAGCTGCTTTAATTAAAACGCCACAACATCATAAGTATTAAGCTCCTGCTTGTTTAAAAATGGCAGTGGGATGTTTTAACTAAAGCTCATCCGACAAGCTTTAGTTAAAGCACCCCAGCGGCCATTCTTAAACCCACAGGGGGCTGCAGCGATGCTAGAGCATTCTAACTAGAGTATGGAGCTGACTTGATTAATCACGTATACGCACCCATGTTTTTTAAAGATTTGGATGAGGACTTTAGTTCACTGTTCTGCCTGGACTTCCTGATTTCCATCAGTGCAGCTGTTGAAATATTCTTTCTTCTCTCTAAATCATACCTCTGTGTCTATAAAATGGCAATAATTTTTCATGGTTGTTTGAAGAATAAATTAATTTAATTGTGAATGATGGGGCCATGGAAGGAACTAGTGACAGGTGAAGCACTGCTCTGCTGTGATTTGAGTGCTGAATGTTGACCTGGTTATCAGACATTTACTGTGACTCTATTGATCTAGTTTAAGTAACTAGATCAGAGCTAGGCCACGCCCCTTCCCTCTGGGCCACTGAGCTAGGGCTGAGTTGTGCCCCCTTCTTTCTGTCAGGCTGGGCCATACCTCTTGCCCCCCTACCTGCAGAGCCAGGCCATGCCCCCTTCCTCCTGCAGGGTTGGGCCATGCTCTCCCATCCCCTCCACCTCCTATGGAACTGGATCAGGGCCAGGTCATGGCCCCTCCCCCCAAGAGGGCAGGTTGAGACTGGCCCAAGCCCCCTTCCACACGTGGCTGGATTGGGACCAAGCTGCCCCTTCCCTTCTCTGCACAGCTGGATAGGGCCCTGCCAGATCTGACCCCCAGAGGAATCAGACACTGCCCATCCAGCCCACCAGCCAGAAAGGTTGAGCACCATTGCAGTAAATGGCAGCTAAGTCCCCCTGGAGTCAATACTTGTGGGTGAAAGCCATTGGCTCAGAGGTGTATGGCTTGAGTTCCTCACGTGAAGCCTTCTGAACTGTTTTGCTCAAGTAATGCTTCAGCCCTTCTAACTATTTGCACGTACAGCCAAAACGCAGTCAAATTCATGCAAGCACCCTCTTTTTCTTTCTCCCTCGCAGGTCACGTTTAACCTTTTTTTGCCTCCACTTTGGTAACAGGATAATGACGCTCAGTAGCATAACTAGGAGCAGGTGAGCAGCAAACTAGCTCAATTGCTAGTTTTAGAGGGGGAGCCAGAATAACAGTTTCCAGGAGCTTGCAGCCACTGGAGTGTGGGGAAGTCATGTGGCGGTGGCAGCAACCTTCACTGTGAGGGGACACTGCCACAGTGGCAGAAGCAGTCCCCACTCTGAAGAGGACTGGGTAATGGTGGTGGCAGAAGCAGACCCTGCTATGAGGAGAGACTGCACTGTGGCAACTGGAGTCTTTTGAGTCCCTGGTGCGATTCTCCCCTGCCGCTTCTCTGGTCCTTGATGCAATACCCCCCTCCCCTGCCAGGGCACCAAAATTCCCACTGACACCTCTGATAACACCTATAGCTGCAAAGTACCTGGAGATTGAGATAAAATGTGTTGCACAGGAATGACTAATCCTGCTTGTTTAATTGAGAGTTGCAAGGCCATGCAAAGAGTCTATCTTTGAGGGCAAATTTTAACCCCAGATCAAGGTTTCTACTTAGGCCTGCATTATGTTTAACAAAGCACGCTGACATAGTTTCATAGTTTCTAGGGTCGGAAGGGACCTGAGCAGATCATCTAGTCCGACCCCCTGCCATGGCAGGAAGAGCACTGGGGTCAAATGACCCCAGTAAGGTGGTCATCCAACCTCCTCTTAAAAACCCCCAGGGTGGGAGCCTGCACCACCTCAC